GCAGGCAATGAGCAAGATTTTTCCTTTAGCTTCTTTTTCTGGCCTTCTGAGCAGCCAAAACTTCCCCTCCCTCCTGCTTTTCACTGCTCCTTTGATCCCTCTGTAACTGTGAGTGCAGCCCAGTCCAGGAGGAATTAGAAAGAAGGAGGTACCCAGAACTCCTGATCTCTGGTCCTGAGCAGCAGCACATTCCACCCCCAAGAAACAACCATGAGGGAGGGATATAGAACAAAAAGGATTAAGAAGAAATTCAGGGAGATAAATGAGTTAAGAGGGGAAGTGAAGAGGGGAGAGTGGATCATTATGGAAAGAGGGTTGTTTAATTTCAGTGTAGATTTCCGGGTTCGGGCTGGAGCCCAGGTTCTAGGACCCCACGAGTCTGAGTCAGCTGGCACAGGCCAGCCATGGGTGTCTAATTGCAGTGTAGACATGCCCTATGCAGAGGCAAATTGGAGAAGGATGATCTTCTAGCTAATGCACAGGACTGGAAGTCAGGACTCGGGTTCATTCCCAGTCTGCCACTAATTTGCTGTGTGATCTTGTACAAGACATGTAATCATTCAGTGTCTCAGTTTCACTCTCAGTAAAATTGGACTATCACATAGATCTACCTCCTAAAGAGCTGAAAATTCTAAAATTCCTGGGATGGAAGTACTGATATTAACTTATTACAGTTAGATAGAGGAAGACAGACTGAATAAAAAACCTCTTGTTTCTTGTTATTTGTATTGCAGCATAGCCTGAAAGTGCTGAACCGATGGGTCCCATTGGGTTGTACAAACAGCTGTACAAACAGAGCAAGAGAAAGTCCCTGCCTTTAACAATGTATAGTCTACAAGACAGGAAATGTGGGCATACAGATGTGAAATCACTTGCCCTAAGTCACAGAGAAACCCAGTGGCAGAGCCAGGAACAGAATCTATGTCTTCTGAGTCTGTCTAGTATCCTTCATCCACTATGGTTAACTATGCTGCACAATTACATGTTCTCTCTCTCTCTCTCTCTCACTCTCTCTCACACAAGCTCTGTGAATGCTTACCCTAGTTGGTGGATTTCTGAAGAATTTTGGCTTTCATTATTTTTTTTTAAATCCAACATTATGGATGCAAAAAGAAATCTCCCACCTGTGGACCACATGCAAACTGATGTGCTCTGGTGTTTTCTTTACTGAGTCTGATGACAGAGTTATGCCAAGCAGCAGCATAGTGAAATTAATACAACTTGGGTCAGTTTCACAGCTGTTTCTCAGAAACCACAGGTAGCAATGAAACTATAAAGTGTATATATACACTGCACATAAAGGATCATATCATTTTCAGGCTCCTACTGCTTGGGAAACCTCTGAGCACCAACAGAGTTAGTCACTGGCATTATTCATAGAGAAGAAAATCTAAAAAGCAAAGGCTGGGAGAGCAGCAATAGTGGAGACTCACCAAACTAGCAGCAGTTAGAAGACTTTGGAGATAAAATGTCTTAGCCTCCTCAGAGCAGCAAAGTGGCTCCAAGTGAGGGAAGACACAGAAAATTCCTTCTTCCTTTCCAGATGCTTGAGGGAGACATACCTTCAGATTTATCAGATAACTACTAGACAAAGGATAATACGGAGGGCCTATACAGGCTCTGACGACTTCATGCTGATATAAATCCTAGCACCCTTCCTCTTCCCTCCAGCAGCGGATTTCAGGAAGCTGGGCTCACATGAGCATGTTCCCTTGGGCTTAGTTGGTGAAATCTACCCATCCCAACACTCTCATCTTTTGTATCTTCTCTCTAGTAAGTTTAAATCCTCCAACCAATGTGTGTGTGTGTAGTCCTGGTTTAGGCTCTTCTAGACATAATGTTATTCTATGTTAGCTCCCCAAAAATTGGCTGGGTTCCAAAGATATTAAAAGGAAGATTTCCGTGAGCTTTTATATCAATAATTTATGCTGAAATTACTGTCAATCTCAGGGCTGCTACTGTGCCTCACTGTGATTGGAGCTAATAGCTATTACCGGGATTTCATAGTTTCATTTAACATTAAGAAACCATCTGGAACTTTTATTTCGTGCTAACACATAATGCCACAGTTGTGCTCAATATAGTCAGCAGCTTTATCTTGCTATAATGAGAGTGAAACACACATGCACTGAATCAAATTATACCTTCAGTCATATTTGTGCATTTCTGCTGAAACCATATTTTCATAGAATTTAATGTCAGATCCAGTGTGACCTCCTGCATAATACAGGCCAAAGATCCTCACATAGTCATCTCTGCATCAAACCCATAGCCTGTTTCACCTATATCTTATCTTTTCAAAATATATTCAGTCTTGACTTAAAGTTGAAAGGGGAAGAGAATCCATCACACCTTGAGGTTAGTAAGCCCTGGTACAAATTAAGCACCATTTTAGATACAATGTTGTAAATCCACATTGACTCCAATAAATGTATTTACACCAGTGTAATTGAGAGCAGAATTTTACCCTAAATTTAACAACTGAGTCCTGTGCTCTGACCTCACTTTCTTTGTTCATCCTTGCTGAAGTGGTAGAATTCAATAACAATGTACTAGAAGCACTACAGAATTGTGTTTTCTGATGCTATGTTTCTGTTGTGTGCAGTCAAGTCTAGTACATTTCAAACTTTTATATGCCACTGAAGGGAAAACATTTCCATGCAAGAGATGCAGTCATTGCTCTGCTGACTGTAAATGTTCTTCTGTTCTTGGAGGCAACATAAGGAAATAAAGGAAGGAATGTGAGAATGATCAGAAACAAAACAGGATACATATTCAAACAGACGAACAACCCACAGACGCAAAAGAGAAGATGAGAAAGGTAAGTGTGAATAGAACGGGAAACAATAAGATCAATATATATGGGAGAAAATATGCAGAGAAGAGATAGGAGGAGACAGAAAAAACACGAAGGAGGAGAAATAGTGTCTGGAGAAGAAAGGAAAGTGTCATGTAGAATTTTTTTAAATAAAGAAAAAAGTTAAGGACAGACAGAGAAAAACAATGCTGGCAACTGGAGTCAAAGACACTGCTAAGTAAAAACTGCCTTCTAATATTTTAGAGTCCAGCCTTCCGATCTGAAGGAGTATAAGATCAAAGTTTTCTACCAGACTAAAAAGACATTGACATCTGGTAGTGTTTTCTGGTAATGCAATAAATACCTTGTGTCATCTCTTTATGTCCTGGGACTTTAATCATTTTGGTACTTTAAAAAAATCTCAGTTTTTAAACTTTTTCTGAATGTTGTTTTATTGGATTGCTACACATATTTCCTGTCATAAAAGCAGCTCTAATGGATTAGTTACTTCCATCAATTTCCTCAGCTCCTTTTGAAAACAAATATTCTGTGGAAGCTATTCTGAACCTTCCGAACACATCCTCTGAGGCAACAGGCTTACAAAGTCCTCAGTCACTGAAATTTAATCAATTCTTATTTTCCAGGTGAAAGTTGAAAGTGAGAATACAGAAAGTATGTACAGTAAAAGCTTTTTTATCTGGCATGCGTGCTTCCTCCACCTGCAGGCGCCATCCCCGCAGCTCCCATTGGCCATGGTTCCCGGCCAATGGGAGCTGCGGAGCCAGCACTTGGGGTGGGGCGCTGGCAGCACGCAGAGCCACCTCGCCATGCCTCCACCTAGGAGCAGCAGGGACAGTTCACCGCTTGCGGGGAGCCACCCAAGGTGCTGGATCCAGCACCTGAAACCCCTCCTGCACCCCAACCCACTGCCCTGAGTCCCCTCCTGGACTCAAACTCCCTCCCAGAGCCTGCGCCCCACACTCCCTCGTGTGCCCCAATCCCCAGCCCCACACACACACACACACCCAAACTCCCTACATCTTAGTTAACGGGAATTTTTCACTTACCGGCACCCCCCGTTTCCCCAACATGCCAGATCCAAAAGCTTTTACTGTACTTACTTATATATGTATCACTACCATAAGATTAGATAATGATTTCTGAGCTCTTTCAGCTGAATAAATGGTGAAACTTTTACTCTATGCAGCTGAGTAAAGGGATGTAAAAGTGCCTTTAACTCACCCTTGGCACTGCACAGATCTCTGGCCACTCCATCAGTCGCAGTGTAACACAAAAGCCTCAGGGCTCTTCTATGTTATAGTGGCATGTAATGGCTCTTAAGTGATAATTATGCTCACTGAGGAACTCCAGAGCATAATGCATTTGCCAGGCCTGGAGTATGCCCCTGCACTGGGGAGCCATAGGAACCTCTTGCGCTATCAAATCTGAAGGGCCAATCTGATCTGGCCCAGGATATGTACTTAATGCTAATTTGTGCCAACCTAGATAACTGATGGAGCTGGGGAAGTGGCATTTCCTCTATCTCTAATCAGGCTTCAATTTAGCTAAAAATTAGCACATTATATTGTCTGTTGAATCACCCTAGTCATAGGACAGAGGGCAGGGAGACGTTATATGAATCTGAGCTAGTCAAGATTCAGTTTGAAAGGTTCTTAGAAATGCAGTGTCCATAAGATTGCCCAGCCCAGCTGTGATATTGATGACTGCAGTATCAGCATCTAGATATCTGAAGATAGATAGATATGTAATTAACTACGATAAAATTATTGACCTGATCCTGCAATCCCTATTCAAGCAAAACTCACACTCAGATCTAGCAATGGGAGATTCACCTGAGTGATTCGCCTCATCTCACTATTCTTGACTTACTCCATAAGAGTACACTCAGCATGCTGAGGAAAAATCATCAGAAAGATCTAAGCAGCAGACCCAAAGCCCTGCTTTTTTTTTATTTTCAGGAGAAAATTTCAAGAAAAGGAAACTGCCTTTTTTACTTTCATGAGAAATTGTATGTATGAACAAGATGTTTCTTTTGCTGTCTTGCAAACCCACAAAAATGGGTTTGATTGCAGTGGGAATCATCTCACATGCCATATCTCTACTCAGCAAGCTTAATTGAAGGTTTTTTTACTTGCAGAATCATGTTTCAGCATTTTTTCCAATCAGAACATAAAGGGCCTACCTTGAAGAAAGTCATGGTTGCTCCATCTTCAACTGCACCATACTCTATCTTTGTCTGCTTGGCTAAATCATCAGCTGAATCAATGGGAGATTCCATGCGCTCCACTGTCAGAAAGGCGGCTAGGTTAGCAGTGTACGAGGAAATGATGATAAGCGTGAAAAACCACCAAATGCCTCCCACTATCCTGGTGGAGAGGGCTTTGGGCATAAGCTCAGAACCTAATGGAAATCAGGGGAGAAAGGTGAAACCAATGCACAGAAAACAATCCGCAAGCATTCGGCACTTTTTTGTCACAGTGTTGAGAACAGAATCACTGCACAAAAAATCTTTAAGCTACAGGCTTACATATTGCTTGTACAAACAAACACAACTGAAATGGAAAATTGGGACTGATTACACTTACAAGACAGATTTGGGGACTGTGGGAAACAAAGTATAGTAATGGGAGACTCAAAGTGCAGTTTTGGTCTGAGATAATGTACAACCCTATTTTTAATTTTTTGTTTTGGTTTCATGACAATGGAAAACAAAAAAGCAAAAGCAGTAATTGGAACTGGATTGTCAAAAGAAGCTTTATACTAAAAAAAACTCGCAGCAGGCTTGAGCCTCTAAATTAATAATAATACTTACTGTAGCCCATCTACTGTGCTTATTCTTCAAAGTACTTAAAGATTAATTAAGCAGTTCATAAAAAACTTTTTTGATGAAAGAAAAATATGTTGTTGCTGAAAAAAGCAGATACAAATCCGAGAATTTCAACTCCCCATAACCATAAGAACCTTGACTTCTGCCACTTCTGTTGTAATAAAGTCTCGTTTAGCAATTTCTCATATAAAAGAAAACATCTCCCATCTCTATAATTAGCCCACAATTTCAGATAAACATGGGTGGCTGTGCCACACATTTAACTCGATAGAGCAGCAATGACAATATTAGACTGTTATGCATAAAGTAGATAAAGATAGATTATAATGCAATGCTGGAGTTGCCTGCTCATGGCACTAAAGAATGGACAGGGTGCCATACATTGTATGGTAATTTGCATAATTATTAATGCCAATTTAGAGCCTAATGAGACAATTTGTAGCACATGAGCTCCTCTTGTGCTTAATTATTATAAACAGGGAAAAATGGAATTCAGTTTACTTAATTTGCATCAGAAATATATTTGTAAACTGGCATGTATGGATTTTTTCCCATTAAATTATAGCTAATAATCGTAAGGTAAACAATTTCAAGTTTTGCCATAAACAAAACATATACAAAACTTTGAGAAGTATATATGTATTTTTTAAAGAAATAGTTTAGCAGTATTGATATATCATTGAAATAAAGTATTAGGGTTTTTTTAGTCAATTAACCAGATTTTTATTACTACTTGGGTAAAATGGAATGAAGGCAAGATGGACTATTTTATTCCTGATAAATTATGTTGTTTATATTAGATTAATTAAGGAACTGGTCCAGCAAGGTAACACATCTTCAGATAAATGTAGGTTGTGCCAAACGTTCAATGTCAATGCAACAAAAAAGAAAAAGAAAAGAAGTGGTACCATGACTGGACTATTTGATCCAAAACAGTCCATCTTACCCTGCAGTTCATCTTACCCTTACTGTTTCAAACAAAACAATGTGACAGACTTGGACATGATAGCCAACTCCAGTGCCAGACTCTGCCTACAACTCTGCAAGGAAAAAAGTAGAAAAGTACCTTTCTGATGTAGTCGCTCCTAGGCCCTGTCAGTCAGACACTTAGACACCATAACACTACAATATTCCCTAAAAAGCCCACCATCTTCAACGTATTTTTTTTTAATTAAAAATCAACACTAGTAGAGTCAAACAAGATTGGGAAGAAAAGAACAGTGGAAACGTTTGCCACAGTTGCCCCAATTACCACAAGTTCATATCTTACCAAAGGACTTAAACAGAACGCCACCTAGGCCTGTGAAACAGAGCCTGGTTAGGTGCTGACTGTCATGTACCCAAGGTAACGTCATGTCCAGCACTATATCCCACAGTTTCCTGGGGGCTAGGGGTGTCAGCAAAAAAATGTATGAGTTTCCTCTATCATGTATCCTCCTCCAGCATTAAAGGAAAGTGTTGTAAAGATATTAATCAATATTAAAGTGGCATTTAAATATTGATTAACGTGTGTACTAACTGGCCACAATTCATATTATATGTATTTATGGGAAATTATTATAAATAGCTAGAACTAGGCACATTTTGTGTTTGTGTCCAAACTTACTGTTGTGTCACAGTAGGGATGCGAGGCAAACTGAAAAAAAGCATCAAAGATAGGACTGACCCTTCATCCATAACTTGGTTCCTTCATTAAGTTATTGTAGCATGTGTGGTGCAAAAGGTAAAATGGTATAAGGTAAGGATGGAGTATCAATCTTAACTAAAAGTATACTTGCTGTTTGTGGTCTGTGCCACAATCTTAATATTATTGGAAATTAGCAGCCATGCAGAGGGGATAACACTTTGGATTCATATGAACCTTGATGATCCATTGGGGAATTCTGATGTAAATCCACCAGATTTGGCTCATTCATCCAGGATATCTGTCTTTCAATTGGCCAGGTTAATGACTCTGTTCCATCTTTTTTTCAAGAAGGATAGAGGATGTGGATTCAAAGTTAATATTGTTCTGATGAGCATTAATTTGAGAGGTTTCTGTCTGAAACCCCATGATTTTCCCCCACTCTGTCCCTCCTAGAGATGACGATGTCCCATCCCCCAAATTTTGTAGCACCCAAGATGTGCAACTCTCATGCATGGCTCTATCAATATCTTGGAGAAAGACAAATGCCATATAGACCTCCTCTCTACTCCTGTGTGTTTTGGCCCAGTTTTACACAGTTCACATATCTTTGCCATCAGTATGGAAAAGATGGGAGAACTAGGCTCTAATGCCCTGATCTTGCACCCCTGGAAATCAGTGGGAGTGTTCTCACTGGCATCAGGGAGCACAGGACCAGACCCCAAATGAAGATTATGTGAACATAAATAATTTTGGGAGTTTCTTCTTCGAAAAAAAAAATGACTGTTGATCTGGAAATCTCACTTGTAAATATCACTATATAGTGCCTTTGAAACTACTGTAGTCCATTAGGTAGCCATTCATTCAGAACTGTGGTTTTAAGCATTTAGGTTGTGTGACTATTTAAAATATATTTGAGTTATCTGTTTGATGTTGCCTGCTTACTAAACACATCGTTGCATCATTACTTCTTATTTGATGCTTGTCTTTTCACTCACTGGTTGATGTTTTCCTGAATATGGTATTGAGATTTTTACTGAGACACTACAGACTTTTAAAGAGAAAGATTATGGACTCAATAGATGACAGATCCTTTGTTATAGCTATTAAATGCAGTTATAACTTATTTGGTGACTTAAAAAGAGATGGATATGAATGGTTGATTCATAGTTGGCCTATGTATTATGAGAATTTCAATACCAGATTGCTATCTGGATACACATGGGTAATCACGTCAAAGAACGCTAACTCTTGCAAATATGTTCTTGTTTTTGTGAAAAGTATTAAATACTTTTCCAAAGGGAAAAGTTGTTCTTTTTCTGCATTGTTCCCCACGCAATATCAAATGTTATGCACTAATGCCTACCAAAATGTCATTTTAAAAAAAGCAACTATTGTTGATTCTGGTACATGTGTGCCACACATATGTGTCTGAAGTTCCTAGATTCTGCTAAATTCATAGAGGAAAAGAACTATAAAATTGAAGCATGGTTTATGGATCTATTTCTTTGATAGTCCATGGAAATAAATATTCAAAAACAAACAAACGAAAAACCAAAAAAAGCAGTATAAAATATTTTTTCTTTGGAGAATTCAGGTTAATTTAATTGCTCCACCAAAACTGTAAGCAGCTGAAACAAATCACTGATTTAAACTGATTGTTGGTTATTCTCTGAAGAATGTAACTTTAATTTTAAGATATGTATCTTCATTTTAGTCAGGAAAAGTGTCTTTGCATGCATTGTACAGCATGCAATATATTCTCTTTGATTACGTCGTCAAGTGCAATTGATTGTTAATTAGCTCTTTTAATTTAAAGAAATCTAAAGCGTGTTTATAAAGAGTTAAATCCTGGAGTATTACAATTTTTGATGCCATATACTAACCACACAATAAAAATGCATCTATTATTAAGACTAAATATGAAGGAGGAAGAGATTTCTAGATCAAAATGAGTCAAGTGAGAGAAAAGCTAAGCATTGAACTCTTGTCTGATGGAGATGTAATCTTTTGTTGTGTTTAAATGCAGGCTTGCTAGCTAATGGATAGATTGGCTCTGTTATTTATGCAGTAATGTACCTATTTTTGTTTATGAAAGAAATTACATTATTATGCTGTGTTTAGGATTTACAAACACTAGCTATGTTCTCAGGTTGATTTCTGGAGTGGGATTTGAAAATGCATAAATGCATAAAAAGAAAAAGAAAGAGGCTGGTTTATGGTTACATGCACAGAGGCACTCATGCAAGTGACTTGTGCCAGAGAGAGCTGTTACCCCCAGCAAAAAGTGGGACATGGTGCCCAAGAGAAAGAGCAGGCTGAATCGTATACCTTGCTGCATGAGAGCTCCAACTCCAAACCAGAAACTATTTAGCAAGGTAAAATTGTTTTCCACCACGTCTGAGTCAGGGTTGCAAGGGTGTGGATTATACCACTCATAGGGACTAAACCTGTGGTAATTGACAGAAAAAAAAAACAGATTTAAAATGCAGCAAGTAGAAAGTCTATCCAGCAAATCTGCTGCAAAAGAAACAGAAAAACAAGAAAGGTTAAATAGAAAATAGAGAACAGAAGTCTTTACAGTGTGATTGTATTATACATGACATCAAACATTACCAGATAAAACAATACTGTTGAAGATCCACGTCCTTATTAACTAATGCTGTCATAAAAAGGCTGGCTCTGAAAGGTGCTGCTGAACACCTGAAAGCTTCTAAGCACCCTTCTCTCTCATAAGAGACAATGGGAGTGAAGGGTGTTCAGCACCACTCAGGGTCAGTCCCAGTCATGCTGCTATTTCTTATTTTGAATGAAAAATGTAAGGGCCATTAAAAGGTAGTAATTAACAAGAAAATGATTGTACTTTAAGAAGTGTTGAAAGCATTACATAAACAGGCCTTCAGATAATAAGACCAAGGGAAAATAAACATTTAGAGATAAATGTGGGAAGATGAGTGCAGCAAACTAGGAACACAATCTCTGGAATCCCCAGAGAAATATTATGGCAAGTTAAAAACAAAGGACCCAGTCCTGTGAGATGTTGAGTGTCATGCCTGGAGAGACTTTCCAAAGGGAGTTGAGGGCATTCAACAGTACCATGCAGAACTGGGCTACCATTGAGAGAAGTGAAGATGAGAGCAGCCAAGTAAGCATGCAACCAAACACCATCATGCACATAGAATAAAGCCGGTAGCATGATGCAGAATTTGGAATAGATTGCAAACAGATTATAGAATGACTCTCTGGAATAGTGCTGATATTTTAACATGATTTCGACATCACTGATGCATAATAATGACTTCTTATCTGAATCCTGGTTTGCCAAAAGCATTGGCTATAACAAGCAAACAACATATCAAGGTAAATTATTTCTTGTTATAATTCCATTTAGAAACACAGACTTATAGCTTTCTCATCCTCAAAGTGTCTCCGTCTAGCTTGATAATTTACTACCAATTTACAGCATTACTCTAAGTATTTCAGGGACAATATTTTTTAAATGAAAATTATTTCCACTGGCACTGGCACATAAACAGGTGTTAGGAACTAATATTTTACCCTTAAATCATGTCTTTAAAATGTTTTCTTGCTGTGTACGAGTTAGCCCATGCTTGTAATAATATTCATAGAATGTTTGCACAAAACCCAGGAAATATTGCATTTTCGTAAAACTACCACAATAATTAAAAAGACTGCAGAGTCTAATTACTAAACTAATGACAATATAGCTTTTCCTAATTTCTCAAATCTTTAAAGCCACTCTGTTAGAAACCAGAATTGGGATACATATCCTTTAGAGAATATTTAAAAAAAATCTATCATGTAATCAAAACTATCTGAATAACGTTTCTGACACTTTAGAGAATGCATTTTTCTTCAGAATAATCTTTTCAACACATTAAAATTCAGAAGATCAGACAATCCATTTTTATCCTATTAATGTAATGTTAGAACACCTCCTGTCTTAAAAGTGTGTACTTGACAAACAAAGAAATGTTTCAATTTGGTTCTGTAAAGTAATACTGGCATGTTATTTCAAAAAGGTTGATTGGGTTATAATTAAATATTTTGACCTTAGTTCTTTTGTTATCTTGTAATAAAACTAGATTCAAGGTTTGTAGTTGTTTTAAAAAGAAAAATCCTTCACTTCCTATTGGTCCCAATCCACCAAAGCATGGGACTACTTCTTGTGCTGAAATTTAAGCCTGTATTAAGTTCTTTGTTGGATAAGGGGCCTTGAATATACAAATAAAAAATACCTTACCCTAGATAGGGTGATGTTTGTGTGCTTTGATTAAGGACTTTCCATATTTTAGACATTTAAATATCTATGTTCTTTTCCAAATCATTTTTCATGTTTTCACTATCTGAGAGATTTCAAATATAATCAATAAATTAATTATCTAACAATTGCCATTTTATTTTTAATCCCATGCATTTTTAATTCTATTTGATGTCCATCTTATAAATAGTATAACAACAGAATCTGGAGTGATAGCTCTTTAAAAAAGGTATATTGACATGAGATACAGAAAAGGGGTCTACATTTGTAAAGAAAAGTACACAAACTATCCAATATAGGAGCTATGGTTCTAAAAAATGATATAATGTGAGTACTGAACTCCGTGTTCCACAATTTTACAATTGCAAATTAATTCCTTATCCACTGCAGCCCACACCACATGAAGTAATCAGCTTTGGCTGACAATCTCTGTGAAAAAAAGAAAGGCGGGGGGAGAAAGGTCAAGATCTTACTTAACAAGAAAACTTAAGCATGCCTACCCTACACAAAGGTATCCCTTCTTATTATGATTTGATGTTATTAGTGGAGGTAAATGTCGGAAACATACATTGCAGATCCTCCAACAAAAGTGTGTGTGTGTGTGTGTGTGTGTGTGTGTATTAGCCTTGGCCCTGATTCTACAAATACTTATCATGGCTATCCGATTCATTAGTGCCATGTAAGTCATGTATGAAGGTCTGTTAGTCCCATAGTCTATTTGTCTGGGTTTAGAGTCAGCTACCCAGAAGCTCTCTCACTCAGGAGCAGACTTGTTGAATTCAATGGAACTATTCACATGCAAGCATTTTCAGGCTCAAGATCCATGCGATTAAGGGTTTGATCCTGCAAGGTGCTGAGAGTTCTAATCCAATCCAACAAAACTCCAAGAGTATGTCTTCACTGCAGCTGGGAGTGAGCCTCCCAGCCCAGGTAGAATGGCTTGTGGTAGCTTGATTTAGTATGCTAAAACTAGCAGTGTGAACATTGCAGCATCAGTGGAGGCTTGGGCCAGCCACCACAGCTTGTACCCAACAATGTCCATCTGCTATTTTAGTATCCTAGCATGAACCCCACTACCACAAGTCTGCATACCCAGGTGAGGAGGCTCACTCCCAGCTGTAGCAGAGATATACCTTTAGTGGATACTTAAAGTTATGTGCTTACCAGGCATAAGTATGTTGTTGGATTGGGCTAGAGTGCTAAGCAACCCTGAAAGATTGAGCCCTAAATAATAACCATGTGATATATGGCCTCTGTCTTGTCTCTTTGATGGCATCACTTGTACTCTCCCCATCCACGCATCTCCACTGAAATCCATTCTAATACTTCAAAGGCCTGAGTAATGTCAAAAATCTGCAATTTTAAAAAATTGAACCTACCACAAAACGTTTGCTTTTCCCTCAAAAACTGGTATTGCGGTGCTAAAATTACAGATTTCAAGCCCAGTAAAGGCAATATTCAGTTCTGAAACAGTGAGTGGTCAAAGATTCAACCATTTTTTTTTGTTCCACAGAGCTAGCAGTGAGACCTTTATACCACTGAAAAGGGGACTCCTCCTCATAGTTTCCCAATGACACACAAAGAACTTTAGTCTAGCCCAAGAAGATCCAAAGATATAGGACTTTAAAGTCACGATATTTTAATGAGCACACAGAAAAGCTATTTGAGACGTTTGTTATTTAGATTATAAATTCTTTGGGGCAGGCACTGTCTATTACTTTATATTTGTACAATTTGTATTTCTACCAATCCTGTTGGTTCCTAGACACTAACATAAGAAAGATGATTAAAAATAATTGTTAAGATGTTCCGGATATGTTTGTTCCTCTTCCACTGGCCCCTGTACAATGGACTCATGGTACAAAGAGAAACAGCATTCACAGGTGGAGGGACATAAAACTATTTTCAATTTTTTAACAAACTCAACTGCTTCTAAAATATTTTCTGTAAATATGCAGCATAAACAGAATATGTTGTGGGGTTGTTATGGGATAGAATCATTTGGGATGATGTATGGCTTTGTTACTCTTGAATCACACAGCCATCTCAAATGTATGCCAATAAAAACTGCCATCACGTTTATCTAGTGGTATACCACAGTCATCACTGTGCTACTTGAGTCAATACATTTATAGAAGATGGGGGAAACATTATATGACAGGGTGGGGTGGTGAAAAGATGTATGGATATAATTTTTGAGTGCCAAATTAATGTGCGAGTTATGTAGTCTCCCTCCAAATGAGTGCTAATAATTTTTTAACTACAGCTTGATGTAGCTTATCCCCTTATTCCTTTGCATCAGCATGGACCCCTCCATGGAGTTGCTATTTCCTGTCTTATGGAAGCAGGTGGGTGAGGTTGGAGAGTGTGTGGAGCCTTGAGTCCACATGGAAAGATTGTTCCCATCTGTCACAGAAATAGATATTCAAAGTCCACTAAAATAAGCACACACTATACAGTGATATTATGTTTGATTTCCCAGTGTGGAATTCACCACAAACTAATAAATATAATGGTTTTCCCATTCACTTTTACCATGTAAGTCATGTGTGAAGGTCTGTCAGTCCCACAGTTTATTAGTCAGGGGGCCAGAAGGTTCGCTGAAGCTCTCTCTGTCAATGTTCAGCACAGGGTATTGTGCAGAATACACTGCTCTTTTCTTTTCCTTCTTAAATAAGCTCTAAATATGACCTACTACATGTAACATACAAATGCACACTGCTCAAGACAGGAGAGAACATACTTGAGTTCTGTCCATTCAACTACTCAGAGTAGCTCTCAGTAGCTAAGGGAATGATTTTGCCCTTAGTTTTTATATTGTCCTAAAGGGAAATTAATAAAAGACATGTTTAGTATGGGTTTTTAGCATAAAGTTTGGTGTTAAAGACATTTTTATTTTGAATTTAAGCGCTTTTGTCGAGAGTGTTATATAATTTTATATATTAAAATGAAAAGGAAGCCAGGAAAGGCTGTAATTTAGAGGGAAGAGGAAATGGGTGAGTAGAGAAGTGTATGCAAAAAAAAAAGCTACTGGGAACCTAACGTCAGGTGCTACGCAAACAAAACTGAGTCTGCCCATTGCTGATATTTACATACATTTGCATGATCTTCTAAATGGTTTTTATGTAGTGCTCACAGATACCCAACAAGGAAGAGTTTGTTACTCAG